AACTGATTTTCTTGTCTTGAAGGTCAGATGTCACATCATAAATACTTCACTGATTATCATGCCATGACTGTACTGATAATGAGGTGGTTTTGCCAGTTTGTTAGTTCGTGTCCTAAAATTGGTTGTTAGCAATTGCACCTGTACCTCCTGACTTTATCCAGAAGGAACCAAGTTGAAAACTTGATTGACTGTAGTAAGGCCTGGACCCTAAAGCCCTTCCTCAAGTAAGTCACCCTACGGTAACATTTCCCAAAAGGCTAGTTTGCTCATAGCCAGTTACTGCTTTTCACTCTCTGCACATAAATACTTTTACAGAAGCTACTGCTGTTTCAAACACCAGGAACTGCCTGTGGAATTTGTCTAAGCTATTCAAGGGATTAGTTGCAGATAACTGATGCTCTTCTGCTCCATATCCAAGTAAGGGTAAAACATCTCAGGACCAAGCTTTTGTAACAATCCAGGAACGAACAGTTGTGAACAGAAAAAGCTAAAAGATGGCATTTCCAAAACCGACTGTGGTCCGTGTAACACAGCATCTGTTTCTCCCAGGAGACTGGAAAGCTCCAGAAGCCAGGAAGCCCTGGACTGTGTACATAGTATGGCTGCCCTCAAACCTTGGCCCTTGGAAACCTCAAGTCATGGGCAGACCATCAGGAACCCAGGCATGTTTCCATGAAAAATCTGTGATTGGAGTAGATTCCACTGAACCAGAAAATTTCCATAAAACATATCAAATTGATATCTAACTCCGTTTTGTCAGGCTATCAGGAAAGCATTAGTGCTGCACTTCACACTAAGTTAGCATCCCTTCATGGAAACTTTTTGCCATACTGTTTCTTCACACACCCTGCCAAATGGACTATAGTTCATGGAATACGTGATCTATACCTACATGCAGTTCTAGTTCATAGTGAACTTTTATATCAGGCTGTACTACAGATCTGAATTGATACAAAGCTTGTTTGTATGGCTCAACAGTTCCTCCTAGTACAAGCATCCATCTCAAACATAATCTTAAAAAGCAGCCGTCAAGCAAGCACCTAGGCTAAATCCTGAAGGAAATCTTTCTATTGGCTTCATTGAGGCTAGGATTTAGCTTGTGTGTATGGTACGCCAGTGAAAAATAGCCTAGGTAGACAACAGAAGCTGGACAGAATCCCATGTTTGGAAGAGAGAGGAATGCTTGGATATAAGAATTCAAGCATAGCCACCATAGTCTCCAATTGCTTTAAAAAAAAAATTGTTCTGAAGCTAATCCATTTTTGATACAGTTGTATTCTGTTGCCTGTTTGTAAAACCTGAAAGATTTCTTCAGCCAGGTTCAACCTTTAAAGCTACTTAAGGATAAGTTCAAATCCATATCGAGTCACGTGAAGCCTCGGTTGCATGTCTTAGCCCCCTGCCATTACCTAATGCTAATGTTGGTGATAAATCAGTGCTATCCATATTGCTAACTCATGGTCTTATCTTGAACGCACTAAAATTGCAGGCAAATGTAAGCATGGCTGTCAACTTCTATACTGAACTCTGAGCCCTTAGAGAATAAATGCCAACCACAGAAACAAAGATACTTCCTTTTTGATTGATGCTATAACATCTTTACCCTATATGTTTTATATTGCTTCCACTGACATGCTATGAATGCCAGAAAGAAAAGCTCAGATTGAACCCAGTTAATTAAAAGGATTCACACAGATGGTTTGCCTGGTACTTTACAGAGGCAGCTAATTAAAGCAATGTTAGTCAGCACCATTAAAATGCCAGATAAAGCTTTGGGAACAATCCTGATTAGGAAGCAAGGTTTACAAATAGAGCTTTGAGCAATGCAGTATATTTGCAGTTAATTAATCTAATTCTAACATATCTTAACTAAGGCACAGAATAATGCATGCTGATATCAATATTAATGCCAAGATTTTTCAAAGTTCAAACCTGGCACTTATTAAAACAATCCACAATGACTCTAATTTCACATTCTACAAGAGAATATGATATCATGAGGGAGTCTGAACTCCTCTAATTAGCCATAATTTAAAGAGCACTAGAAAAGAAACCAAGGCAAGTCCTAGTTGTAGAAAGTCAGCCACACATTAGCAAAGACAGAGAGAAACTGCACCAGAGCGAAGTTATATTTAGACATGCAATATAAACAAAGCTTCCTTGCAGTTTTAGACAGATGCTGTGTTTGGAGAGGATCAGTCGCACTCTCCAATATGCTGTCTCCAATATATGGCTGTATATATATTTTTTTGCAGTAACAGTAATGTGGTCTTGATCTGAAAACTTCTAAACCTTATTTTATGCAACCAAATAGGCCCATTCAGTTAATGTGCTAAAAGATAATCATATGCACAGGTATGTGCAGCATAGGACCTAAACCACGGTCTTATTCCCTGTAATTGAAACTGACTTTTCTTATCATTACTTCATCAAATAAGACTTCAAAATAGCAATAGAATTTCATCCCATATTCCAAAGACAGGCAGATGTACATGTGTTTTGGGCTGCATGTTATGATTTAGCTGTTATAGGCCTAGCTTCTATGATCAACTTAAAAGAAATATAGATGAAAACAACTACCTACTGCAACTCTCCACTGTTGTTTTCCAAGCAATAAAAGTTTCACCATCCTCTTTCCCTTATTTAGAAGCCACAGTTTAAAGGCATTTGGTGATTTCATAGTGATCTGAGCAATGTGGCACATACCAAGGTAAATCTGCAGTAAAATTTACTCTCTTCATCCAATACTCTGAAGAGTCATGATGAGTCATTCAAGTATTGGTCTTTGCAAACGTCAGACCACAAGCCAGACACTGCTTTCAGACAGGCATCCCACATGGGCACAGCAATGTCCTGCAGAGTCTGCATGAACAGGGCCTCATATCCAGACAAGAACCATCTGTATTCTCCTTTCATTTCTCCTTTCATTTTCATTTCTTTCCAGTTCTGCTGCTCTTCCAGTTGCCCAAGGGGCAAGGGGATAACTAAGGGTTTGGCAATCTCTCCTTCTGCTTTCCATGAGATGACTCTCGGAAAGCCCAAGAAACTATGGCAACCTAAGCTTCAGGAGGTAGCACAGTCCTGAGAAGTGCCTCTTTATTCATGTTTTCCAATATTTGTGCCTAATGGGACAGTAGCTGAATTTGTCACTTGAATTTTTTGCTGATGACTTTCAAAGGATGTGTCTTAATTAGAGCACACATCTTGCCATTCCAGAATGTGTATTACTAGCAAACCATACAGAAAGTGCCGAAAGCTCTGCATTTCTATGCCAAGCACAGGTGTTGTCAAAGCTCTGTACTATTTATAAGATTTTGGAAAAGTATCATTAGACGCCCTTGATTGCACTGAAATAATGATGTATTTGGTGCTTCAAAGGAGGAGGTGCAAACACCATGTCTGTCTCTTGAAGAGAAATGAAATGTCAGGCAAGGAACCCTAAACAGCTAACTTCTGCCATTCTCCTGCAGAATGTTCTTTGCTGACCCGCTAGACTCTCAAATACTGTAGTACATGTATGTTCCACAGCCAGATTTGACATTTACCATTCAAAATATTATTATTTGATGGACCAATGTAACTAAATATATGCTTTTATGGAAAACTCTAAATGTTTAATGCCAGTGCATGCCAGCAGAAAACTGCTCTTTCACTTGAGCTCCCAGCTGAAAAATGTGCATTCTGTGGTGGCACAGTTTCACAGAAAAGTCTCCCCAGGTTTATCTGATAGATAATGAAAGGGGCTACAGCAAAACCTGAATTTTCAGGTCAGGTTTCTTTTACATGAAAGCCCAAACCCACTGAATGAAATTTCAGCTGCATTCCTAGAAATTTGCAGTGATTCGGGCTCCAGAGAACAAACACTCCACTGTTACTTCCATAGAGCTCTTGTTCGAAATGCCTCTTCCCATGCTGAGATGCTAAATTCATGTGAATGTAAATGTACAATGCCAGATTCACTGCCCAATAGGTATCAAGTGACTTACATTTCATAGGTAAAGTATAATCCCTTTGCACAGTTTGTCAACTGCTAATAGTTAAACAATCTAGGGGATGTTTTAACATAAGGTATGGATAGCTTTATGTCTTAGAAGAAAATTTAACCCATGTGGTGCAGAACTCAATATGATCTTGAGTTGAAACAGGAGGTTTCAGGGTTGAATTGACACTGCCGTCATATGCACTCTGTCATATGCACTGAGTTCTGCGAACAAAATGCACTCATTTGCACATCTGACATTAAAATGCATGTAAGAGAAAAATCAGCTTTTAGGTGGCTTTTGAAGTCTGCCTTTGACAAGTTTTGCCCATTTTGAAAACAACAGCAGCAATGAATTGTGAAGGCCACTAGGAATAAACACTTACATAGTACATAGTTTTCTCTTGACACAGTTCCATCATCAGTATCACTGCTCCTCTACCAGAAGGTTTGTGCCTGTGGATGGCATGGAAGCAGCATCGTGCACGCCCTATGGCACAAGCTGCTAACCTGCAACTCAGTCTTCTATGGGCTACAACACTATAAATCATTAACAAAATTATACCAGTACTAAGAAGGGGGAAACCATGCTAGAACAGTGCTATTGATAGTGGGATTCTGTGTGTATACAGGACCTAATGCCTTCTACATTAAAGCATGAAAAAGCCACGTAAATATAACAAGTGGGCACATAACTGCACCTAATCCCAATACCAAATACTACAGCAGGCAGAGCAAGAGAAAATACAGCAGCATGAGACATGGCCATCAGTGCTGGCATTGCAGTTGATCATCAACATCCTAAGATTACCTGGGACAGTCAACTCAAAGTATGAATTATTAAAGTTCAGCAAAACAGCAGCATGAGAATATCACTTATACTTTGTAGCATGACAAAACTTGTCCTTTTATAATAAAGAGAAATGAGGGAGAAGGGAAGCTTTTCCTCCCCTGTATTTGTGATATTGCAAGTTGTCAAGAACATTTGCATGAAGTGTTCCTTTCCCATTGCTTCCAGAAGACTCCCTTTTCTCAGTAAGCAGCAAAGTCACCGGGAAATCCTGTGAATACAATGGCACCACCTACCATCATGGTGAAATGTTTGTGGCAGAGGGGCTTTTCCAAAACAGGCAAGCAAACCAGTGTGCCCAGTGCAGCTGCTCAGTAAGTAACATGATTTGACAGAGCCCTGCTCTGTCTATGCTTCATTTCTCCTTTCTAGAAGACATGACACTGAAATATAAGCAATGCATAGCAAAAGCTGGGAGTTGTGAATTAATGCTGAAACTCATGAGATTGCTCAGAGCCAGTCTGCAGCACCTGGTAAATGCCAGGCTACCTCTTACACACAGTGGACAAAGCTTACCCTGTGAAGCATCTGCTGCAAGTGAGCTTACAGTGCAGAGGCAGCAGGTAAAATATTGCTACTTGGCATATGTAGAATATTTCACTTCAACCTGACTGGAAAATATAGCACTAAGCCACTGACTGAAACTGAATTCATTTGGACTGAGCTGATAAGTAAAGAGCCCCCACAGGCTGGGAGTGGACAGCTCTGTAAACTGGCACTGGGCCACAGAGATGTTACCAATTCAAATCCAGTATACTTGAGCAGTCACCCAGTGACTCTTCAGAGCCAGTGTCTGAACTGAAACATCCCTCTCAATCCAGCCAGCTCTTCAGTATCAAGTATTGGCAACTCTGGACCTCCTCTGATCAAATCATCATCATATTCTACATTAACTACAAATTTAACAGGCCAAGTACTGAACAGACTTTATGACTTTTAATTACTGCTAAGCTCTTCCTCCAGTTCAATGGTAAGACACAACAGTGGGAGAAGAGCGAGCGGCGGAAATTTACACTGCGTGATTTTAGTACCAATGTCAGGTACATTTTCAGCCTACAATAATTGCAACTCTTCTCCCCACACACTTTTACCTCTTCCCTTTTCCCTGTTTTTTTAAAGAAAGGGACCTTCCTCTGTGCGACAACAAATTTTAAAAAAGCTATTCAGACTTTTCATTGGTCTAATATTCTGCTTTTGCATACTAGAGTGGCATTTATGTAAACACACATACTAGATTTAAGTGTGTCCATAAAAAATGCATATACAGTACCAGACGAATCGATGACTCCTTCTAAATTCTCCTTGTGTTTTACTGGCAGGAAGGAAATGTGTACTGTGGGTTGAAGACCTGTCCCAAATTAACTTGCTCTTTCCCAGTTTCTGTTCCGGAGTCCTGCTGTCCAGTTTGCAGAGGTAAGTTCGAGTACAACCACAGAAGGACAGGCTCTGAATTTACTCCTTTCCCTGTCAGAGCCCTGTCTGCGCACCAGCACTGTCACTCAGGACACTATCTGCAAGTTTCCTGTGTACTTACAATCCAGTGCATGTTGGGAAGTTAAACCTCGAATTCCATCAGGCTAACATTGCTACCTTTGTTTTCCTAAATTGAAAGAAGGAGAGAATGCACTGATGATAAAGTTGCATCCCCATAACGAGGTAAATCAAGGCTTCACATGATGTATTGAAATAGCTGCCATTGCTCTGGGTAGAAAAGCTTTGCAATAAAAGACAAGCTTCTATGTGACAGGTTACCAGACCTGCTTAAGTTATGCAAGGCACAAGAATTTCAATTCGGAGGGTACGGCAAATTACTCCAATTTAAATTAGGTGTCAATCTATACTTAGGTGACTTCAGTATTTTACTAGCAATTGCATTTTAGATCTTGTACACATAGGGAACTTGATTCTAGAGGCTTTCGCAGCCTTTCTGAATGTCTAAACCTAAATGTCTGCCTAAAAGCCTGTCTAAATGTCTGAGAATTTCTGAATGTATTTTATCTCACTGTTAGTATTGTGGCATTTGAATCACCACTTCTAGGGTATCTAACCACCTATGGCCAGTTCTCAAAGATGCAGATAAGCACCTAAAGGTACCTATGGTTTTCAGAAGTGCCACTGTTGATATCAGTGATGCCAGGCTGCTTTGAAAAACTCTCCTGCTTGCACCTTTGTGCACCTATATCCTTTTGAGATTCTGCTTGTTTGAACTCAGTACTATTGCATGGTAAAAATAAGGAGTGTTATATTATCAGTTGTATAATTTTACCTATGGTGCTAGAGTTGTGACACACAAACTAGCATAGTCCCACAGTCCCTGTCTACTGAGTACACACACTGGACCCAAAAGCTCTGAGCAGTGAAGGGGCTAAGCTAAGGAGTTTACTGAGTACACACACTGGACCAAAAGCTCTGAGCAGTGAAGGGGCTAAGCCAAAAAGAGGGTACTTCAGAGTGCATCAGTGCTTAATAATGCAGCATGATGCAGAGATAGCACAGCATGCTTTGAAGGAACAAGTTCCTGGATAGAAGCTGTGTAGTCATGTCAGTGCAGCAAGCTGTCTAAGCTACTTAACCTGCAGAGATGCAGTGGTAATTAACTTAAGTGTGGCACCATGGAGGACCTGAACTAATCTCTCGGCAGGGCAATGCTGTGCACTGCATAAATACATCAGCTCAGTCAGAGCAAGGATGAGGATCTCTATGCATGGAGATTGTTCCTCATTCGCTGCTGCTTTGCCATGTTACTCCACAGTATCTTCACAAATCTTGAAACGTTTTGCCAGGCAAACTGCTTATAAAGCTATCTGATTTCAAGCAGGCAAGGTGATAGTCCTGGCTTCCCAGGGTGAAATTTAGTGATACACTGTTTTAAATGTAATATATTGACAAGTTAATTGAAGTAAAACCTTGCTAATCATCTGATTCCTGGTACCTGTTCCCTGATAGTTATATGATCTGTATTTGAAGCCAACCTCTTCCAGTTAACAAAAATCAAACTGACTTTCAAAGTATGAAGTATCAGACATAGCTATGCTGTAAACTAGCCTTACACTGGAGAAATCAGTCACTTCAGCCAGAGAGAGAGTCACTAATGAGAAATAAGTTCATTAGAATTTCCATATCAGAGGTGAGATTAAATTGGATTATGCAGTAGAGACGACCCAGTGTCTCCATCGATGCAGGGGTTTTTTTAATGTATTCCACTATTACTCTTACTTAAAAATGTTAAAATGATAATTTATCTCATAATTAACTTTGTCCTTTTCAATATGGCATAAGCTGTTTTATCTCCCCTCTGTGATTCTTACGAAATGCAAACCTAAACAATATGTTTGCATCAAGATCTAGCACAGCTCATGGGGAGGAAACTGCGAGTCAGTTTCTGCTCCCTGCATGGCCAAATTTATTAACGTAATATATTAAAATTTGCTGATTTTCCTATTCATTTCTCTACTACTGACTAGAGAAGGCTCCAAGCACTATGGTTCAGATGCTGATTTATGTCAGGATCCAACTTCCCCTTAAGTTAACGGGGAAGTTCTCATAAACTGCATAGAGGATAAAATGCTAATACATAGTATGCACTAAAGTAGTGGATCCATGATGGATCTGATTGAGTTAAACTGGATGAGTTAACTCCAGAACTGGAGGCATACCTGCATCAGCACCATGGCCCTCCCAAGCCAGTATCACACACTACTACTGCTGCAGCAGCTATCCTGCTTCGAGGACCCAAGCCCGTGATCTGTGCCATTAATGTAAGGCTCCTGATGTAGTGGTACTGCTCTGCATTCCAGTGCAGTGCTTGGCACATCTAGAGCTAGGCTTTGAGCCACTGGCAAAGCAGTTTTATCTGTACCTGTATCTGAATTCCAAGGCTGGGATAAATTCCAAGCTCCCCTCCACACTAAATGATTCCTCATTTTCTTGTACAAGTTTTCCAAGAATCGGCTATCAGTTCAAGTTCCATGGCTTGTATAATCAAGGAACACCTCTAAATATGTCTCTGAAAACTTCTTAAAGCCACATTCTCTCTCTAGCCTGAACTGGTTTTTCCTTGCCATAATTTCCACCCTATCTTATGCTTAGTTATGTTTGTATTTATGAAGTTGTCTTTACAAAGAAAACAGCTGGGCACTACTCCTGAATAGAAACTGAGGGTTTCTTATTCTTTCCAACTTTCCTTTCCATGAATCACATGTTTGGCTGTGAGGAACCAAAGCCTGGCTCTGCAAGTCGTTCACACTGATTCTCAAAAGCATTCATTACTTCTGCATCACATGCACAAATCTCAAGTGCTCTAGCAAAACCTTTTCTCTTTTAAAAGGCAAGTCAGAATGTCCTTACTTTGTTATGAGTGTCCTTAGTGCTATGAGCCTTATTCTGTAGTACTTTTATTGGCCTGATTCAAAAAAGCAGTGCCGAACATTTCATACTCTCTACATGCAAATATAGGATCCTACAAGCTTAGATGGGATCCGGTCTTAGTGGGCCAACTTCTCATACATCCTGCCATAACTCACCTGGCTTCCTGGAAGAGGTGCTGTTTTGTGTCTCATGAGTCATGCACTGAGCATGGCCATCACTTCTATTTATGAAACAGTCTATCTTTGATAAACATATGAAAGCACCTCCCTGGTTCATAATCATACCTGGGGGTGAATCGTGACTTAGCAATTTTTATTAATTGAAGCATAAATAAGAGGGAAAAAACAACCATATAGATATGGGGACAGGAAATTTGCAGGACAAAATATGGCTTACTTTTTCTTGATATATATAATACAATGTTATTTATTAATGGCTACGCTTCAGAGCTGACTACAAAAATGTAATTCAGGATTCAATTCTCAGTCAAGTTACATGTCAGCTGAGCAACAGTAACTGTGCTTGTGGGTTCCCTCAGCCCACAGTAGATGGAAGGTCACAGAATTTAGCCTTTCTCTGTGAGCTAAGCTAAGTCATGTCTCCTCACCTTTGCCTGAGATCACATAGCAAATAGTTGCTGGAAATTACCTTGCCCGTAGCATCTTGTTAAGCCGCATAAATCTGATTGATTGATAGTAAATCTTCATCTTGAGTTTGCATAATGTTTGGGAAAAGATCTTCCTTTTGTCTCTACAGAATCTAGTACAATAAAGTCAGACTACAGACTGACAATTCTGCACACTGATGCAACCTCCACCCTAAATTTAGCTGTAAAGCTGGATGAGGCTTTTCCCCTAAGTATCTCCCAAGGTGTTGCACAATTACTTCCCTAACTGATACTGCTCTGTTTCACATACAGGAGATGGAGAATTATCATGGGAACATTCTGATGGAGATATCTTCCGTCAGCCAGCCAACAGGGAAGCCGTAAGTGTGACCTACAATTTAAAGACATATTTTACTGCCATGCTGTGCGTGCCAGTACATTGGGGAAAAAAGAGAAAAGGATGATAACAGGTCTGAACATCTACTGCTTCATCCTGGGATCTGTGAATCTAGCCCAAAAGAGGTTTCTTCCACTTCTGCAAACCCTTTAATAAACTCAACCTGAATTAATGAATAACGCTGAATTATAAACCCTATGAGCTCCTGTGGGCTCTGGATTTGGTCTTTGTTGTATATGCTCTATAAGAATAACATTCTACAGCATTTTGTTTGCTATGCAAGCATCACTTTTAAATCATAATTGCAAACACTTCCCAGTTGACATATACACATGTATATATTTACTTTAGGGGCTTCACTACCTCTGGGGCTAAGAGTATCCATTAACAACTTACTCCTCAAGACATGATTTTTATAACATCATTTGAAGAGAATATGAAGAGCTTTTAAGCATTAGGTGCACTACCTAAATACATGAACCAACAAATTGGTTGAACCAAACAAATTTGGATTAGTGAGAAGAATCATGCCTTATAAAATAACTGCTGTAATATACACTATTCCTTCATGCCCATGGGTATTTTGGAAAATAATTCTCTGAAAACAACCAGTGTTTTTGCTCTAGAAAACACGCTGCACACTACTACTACTACTACTACTACTACTACTACTACTTTCCTTTGCAAAGAAAATTAGACTTCCCAGTCCGTTAAGACAAATTCTAGTAAGGTTCTGCTCAGTCTGTGCAAGGCTAACCCTGGCCTTGCATGAGAGTTTAAAGCTGCAAGCAAACAAGCTGGACCGTCATTCTGGATGTGCTCTGCCACTGGAGCCCTAGTAGAAAGCAATTTTGATGAGGAAAACTAGACAGGCTTACAATTCTTCTCATCTAATCTTAAAGTAGAGCAGACATCAGTAAAGTGGATACCTAGCTCTGAACACCATTTTTAATACATGGAGCGAAATAGGCACTTCTGGGTTGTGATTCAACTCCTCATGATCTAGAAATCCACAACAGGTCAGGTTCTAAAATTGCCTCTCTGTCCATTGACTTGATTAGGGACTTCAGATGACCAGCTTAGATAAAGACACCTACACTGACATATACAGTCTGGTGAGATGAGTTACAACTGCATATGTGTAGATTACTTCATTACCATGTTAACTATCTGCAAAACCTGAATGGCCTTTATTTAGTATGGTGCCATTCATTACATTTAACAATGTTTGGTGTTAGTGGCAACACTCTCGTTGCCTGCGTTAAGCATCTAGTACAGCCTCTTTCCCCATGTTCTTTGGAATGAGACATTTACTTCCCTGCTCTCTTTCTGTCTCCAAACAGAGACACTCATACCATCGCTCCCACTATGACCTGTCACCCAGCTCTGCGAGGCAGGTAGTCAACATTCCACGATTTCCCAATCCCAGGAGTAACCGTGGAGTCCTACCGGATCCCCAGCAAGCTTCAGGAACAATAGTACAAATCGTCATCAACAACAAGCATAAGCACGGACGAGGTAAAGACAAGTACTTCTTGTAATATTACTCTGGGTCAGGAATCAATCACCTTCTCAAAATATACAGCAGAATCTTGGAAATTCACACTGGTATCAAGAGATCCAATGCAAATCAGGGAGGCAAAAAGCAATAAGCTATTAAGGATACAAAATTAGCTCTCGACTGAGATCAGTTGTGCCTACACATACAACAGTGCATTTCACTCTGCAAAGGCACCACCCTATCGTGTTGCTCTCTGAATTACTTTGTGGGATTGTGGTATGTAATTCTGAGAACACATGCAGCGGTTACCAGGGAAGTGAGTGCTTTGTGCCATAAAGGACACCACGATGCCTTTAGATTCGCTAACTTGTTCACACAGTGGCTTGCCCAGTAGGAAATTGTTCATGGTTATTTTCTCTACACTGTCTTCTATTTTGTAACTTTACTAGCTGTAAACAGCATATGTTTAAACTGCCCCACAAATCTCAGACCATAAAGCTTTGCCATAGTATCAAGAGGTTTTCTGCCTCCAAGGCTTAGCAAATTATTCTTAAGAAAGACAATATCATGACTTCCCCCACCTTAAGCTATTTGTCTGAGACAGTGGGATGCAAGGGGTGCTTTTCCTCTTCCATGACTAATACTAGAGGCAGGGTAGGCAATTAGCCTGTACTGGATGCCTGAGCACTAAAGAGGCAGAGCTAACCAAGGTAATGAATCTCACTCTAAGAATCCTCTAGTGCCTTTTGAGAATATAATATAGGACATACTACATTAGGGGGACAGCAGAACTTTGAGCCAAACCAAGGCAAACCTTATCCAAGCATGACTAAGCCATATTCCTGCTGCATTACAGGAAGGACAAAAATAGAGGGAAAATATCAATTCTCCAGTTAGTGGGACAGCAGGTTTTGTACAATAAAAAGGGTGGGATGCTCAGTTCCCACTGTGGGTGTACCTTGGTGAACAGAGGTCTGCAGGAACAGGCCTAAGAAGCCATAAAAGAAATAAATAGCTGTAAAAATGCATGTTCAGAACAGCATCTATCCGCAAATACAAATGCACTTAGAAACTACCCACAAAGAGTTAAAAGCCCTTGTATTAAGGCCAACTAATCTTTTAAGGTATTAACTAACAGAAGGAATGTTGGCCATAGGATCGTTATTATCCACCTGAACAAGCATGAAAAAACATTCAGATCATGCCAGTGTTTTATGCTGAATCTAGGAGCAGGAATCTCCATGCAGTGCAATATCTTTGACATGTAGTTCACACATGAAGACATCATCAAAGCAATTTCTAACTGATTTGTTTCAGCAAATAAAGAGCATACAGATGAATAGCATATTTCTGGATGCCAGTATATAGTAACTGCCACAACTTCAGACACTCACTGCTTGGAGAGTGTCTGAGAGATCCCCATGATGGAAACAGGAATGCTGACCATGTATTTTCTTTTGTTCTTGTGCAATTAACAACTGTTTTATTAATTTATGCACATGCCCCTTGAGACGCATTTCAACAAGTTAAAAAATAAACACACAACAATCCTCCTGACATGCAAATACTGTGCAGTTGCATGGATACAGATTTATCATTCTAAACATGAAGAGCACTGAAAACAGGGCATCAGGGAACTAGAAGTTATTTGCCATACTTTGGCTTCTACTGGAGGCTTCATCTGCTGCCTCAGAGTAATTATTTGACTGTTCTGTGCTAAACAAACCCTTAAAACAGAGAGAATATGTATCTACACAATGTCATGTATTATCCCTTCCCCTGTCAGGGAGAAATCATGAAATATTTATGTCCATAAAGGATCTGGAGAACTCTAGCTGGGAAAAAAATCCATATAAGCATAAATACAGTATTTAAGCAAGTAAGAAGCCTGCTGAGCAGCTGAGTACTTACCAGTTTTCTCATTCGTAGTTTTTTCTCCCGTGTTCTTAGTATACAGATAACACTTTGCTTTTATTTGAGAAACAAAACTGTTTCCTACCTCTAAAATAAAAAACATGTCTTAAGAAAGAGTTAAAAAGTAGCAAATTATAAACCAAATGATAGCATAACCCCATGAAAGACAATACATTGCAAAGAACACTCCCCATAAATCTCAGTAACTCAGTAAAGTATAAGCCAGTTGGTCACATCTGTTACCAGTTAGATGTAAATTTCAGATTACAGATAAAAATTAAATTGCTTTTGAAAGTTACAGGCAAAATAGGAACATATTTTACAAATAAAAGCATTAATAAAAATGATGGCATATTAGAAGAATTGGAAATATTTACAACATATCCCAGCTTCACTTCAGTTGCTTTTAGAAATCAGGCAGTGCCCTTTCTTTCACCTTGTTAGGATTAGTTTGCATTTTTCTTTGTGTTTATAAAATATTTAAAAAGAAAGGAGTAAGGTTTATAGGACAAATGCAAACACGGTGTAAAGTGATATAATTCCCATTAACTGCCGGGTGACCCAAACTGGCTTCCACTAGGCATGGATTTTTCCACTCTCCTTGTGTCAGCCGTATTTCTCCATCTCCTAAGGGCACTGATGAATAAAAATTCTGAGGTGCTTAGACACTATTGGAATGAAATTTCAGTCCCATATGCATCCTTTCATGTTAATGGTTTCTTGTGATTCCAAAAGCCAAATGTCTCTATATACCTATAGGCATATATATTTCCACAAAGGACATTAAACTTCATTTTGCAACATTCCCTTGCTTTGTTCTGTGTGTTGTGTAGCAGGAACTCTCATGCAAAAGCAATAAAAGGCCCAGGTGGCACTAATCCATCCTGCTGATAGCATGGCTCTCACTGCAAAAGCTGTTTTTGGCTAATGGTAAGAAAAGTTGTGCAGATGACTCAGTAGCAAATGTCGTGATCCTGTCATCTGCAGATTCAATTCTAGAAGCCAGAGCCAATGTAGCAGGCTGTGTCCTGTGTGTGGACTGAGATTAGGAGGGGAAGGAGGAGTGAGTTTTATAAGCTGGTTAATGATGCACAACTGAAATGCGTGCACTGGAGAGGAGCTAGTCAAATACTTGACTCAGCCACCTTCACTGTTCTCCTCAAAACAGTGATGGACACCAGTGTCAGCGGAGTTGGAATCAAGGCAAAACTGCTCAGAAAAGGGTGATCATAGGCTCAGACTCATTTTAAGTAGCGAAACTCCAAGTTAAAGTGAACAAGCAGAGAAATGGGCCAGAGACACTAACAAATTATGTATAGAGACACTGCTTTAAACAAATGTGCATGAATCAAATGAATATTCATAGAGAGATAGCCAGCGAACATACCTTTTCCAGTTGTACTTTTTCTTCCTTTTCTCTTCTTTTGTAGTTTGTGTTTCAAATGGCAAAACATACTCACATGGTGAATCTTGGCATCCTAATCTCCGGGCCTTTGGAATCGTAGAGTGTGTGTTGTGCACCTGCAACATCACCAAACAAGAATGTAAGAAAATTCATTGTCCAGAACAATATCCCTGCAAATACCCTCAGAAAATAGAAGGAAAATGCTGTAAAGTCTGTCCAGGTAAAACAAAGTTGATCACAGACCACCTTTTTGCTGTGCATGTTGAGGGGCTTGGCTCAAGCCCCCTGGTCACAATAAGATCTGATGAAAACAGCAATAGCTGTGCCCATTGTTCTAATGTGTGTGCAGAGGTCTCAATGTGAGACAGGCAGAGCTGCCTGGCCAACCCTGCTGTTCACTGCTGTTCCTCAAATGGGGGGACTTGCTGCCTGGGGCACATATGTTCTGATCAGTCGCTGCCTTTCTCTCTACTGTTAGCGTGACTTCCTGACACTCATTTCCAAAGAGAATATTACAGAAACGTACACAGAAAGTTCATTACAGTCAAAAGACTCTCCCATCCTTCCCCCACTGCAGTGCCCACAGAACCTTCAAATCATTTTCTAGCTTGTGCAATTTGCATGGAGATAATATCATTTCTGCTTTTTGAAATGCACCAGAAGGATTCAAAACCCCTGATTATAAACTGATTGGTCTCAGTTACGTAACTTAATCCTTAAAATAAATACTAACTTATCACAAATTTAGCATTGCTTCTAAGCTGCACTAATGATTAAACTTATGTAGACATTACTTACTAAAATCAATGCCTACAACTAGTGAAAAATCTGCTAATATGAATCTGCTGATGGTCTGCCAAATGACCAGCCATGTTGCATATGATATAAAGGGTAAAGGAGTGTCCAGTTCCTTTCTGTGCCTTTAATCTTCTTCTCTAATCTGTATGGCCCATTTCTATGTTTGTTTGGTGGTGCATTGGGCAGAAATGCTCTGAGGAAATGAGTTGTTCAGTCGTATACAGAAATCCTTCATAGAATGCACACTTCCCATTTTCTCTTGCTAGCCTTGCTTACTGGGAAAAAGCACGATGCAGTGGCAGTAGGCAGGCAGGAGATGTGTATCTAGATCCTTTTGGATACTTGTGAATCAGAGACCCACAGCTTTTATTGGGCTCATCTGAGATGAGAACCGTCAGCAAAACCTGGCTAACAGGCTTCAATAGAAAATTTAATAGCAAAAAGAAAGTTACTGTCTTTTTCTTTGAGATTCTATGTGCCACTTTTTAAGAAAGCTGAACCTCTTCCTGCGGTCTGTCTTGTATGTATGGAGATGTATTAATTATTAGGTTTTTCCACAAACAGCAGTCCAAGTTTCTGAGTTGCATCATCTCTCTTACATTCTTGTCCAACTTCCAATTACCAACAGAATAATTACAATTTCTACTTATATGCTCTACGACTTTACCAGGTGGGCAAGAGATAATGATGTGCACTGTGGCTAGCCCAGGCTTGCACTGGCCAGCTGGCTGCTGCCGAGCAAAATGCAAACCTTGTAGGTTCTACCTGCCCTTTTCCTTGGCACAGCATTAATTTAGGTCTCTTCACAGTCCATCCACCAATTTTCATTTAGTTATTTTATTACCTCTGAGACTTCTACCATTATTTCAGATATGTTTGAAAAGTGGACAACAGGTTCAAAAATTGTGAGGAGTCTCACAGACCACATAGTTTTACACAGCTCATTTCCTTATGAAACTGGAGTATAAATACGAATACTGTCTTGCCACCATAGACAGGCCATCAGAACCTCACAGAATAGAACACTATTAAATGTTTGGGGCTTAGCTGGAGATGGATTTGAGTGGCCATACAAGTGAAAATTCTATTTTTAAACTAAACCTGCTTGGCTATCGGTGCCAAGTAAGTTCTGGAGGACTTGATTACAGCTGCAGTATGTGTTTTGGGCTTTTTTTAAACAGAAGAAGTGCCAAGTCAAACCTTTGACAACAAAGATTACTTCTGTGGGAAAGAGACATTTCCTGTCTATGAATCTGTTTTCACGGAGGAAGGAGAAACCATCAGAAAAATTGCAGTAGAGACTGAAAAGCCGCCTCAAATAGAAATACATGTGTGGACAATTAGAAAAGGTGAGTTGAGCAAGTTCTTTCTTTAAACAGTGTATCATCTTCCATTAAAATCCCAGGACAATTTACAAATCCAAGCATCTTGAGACTGCTGTTCTGGCTATTTAGGATATCGCTATTACAGCCACTTCCAACATAGTCAAGTTTTGCTGTACAAAACCCATTAATAACACACAAAGCTCTAGTTCCGCAAACTCCTACCCTTCATTGTGAGCAAAAGCACAATGACAAACAGGTTGTTAGTAATACTCTCTGTAATTTATTGCAGAGAAATGGGTAGTAGGGTTTGAACCAAGTGCCTGGAGGTTCTTATTTAGGATGAACCAAAAAGCTTTCCATTGAAACCAGTCTGCCCTATCTGCCTTAGTGATGCTACACCCGTGATGGTCTAGAATATGGGCAAAAAATATGTTAAGGATGGAAACAATATCTTTTACTAGACTAACTGATAAAATTAGAAAAAAATAGAAAAGCATTCAGAAGCCCAAGCGCTTCTGCAAGTCCTGAACTTTTAGTATAATAAAAATTCTCTCCAGCCTCCTAAAAATCCTATCTACTTAGTCTACTTTAAGCAAAAAGCATGTGATCCTCATAGGAAACCCTCATATAGTGCAGCCCTTTACACGGAAACGATACATCTCTAGAATGCACTTTAAAGCACAAAGCTAAGCCCAGAGTGTGAGCAGAAGAGAAGTCACAGAGGATCGGATGGTTAATAACTGCCGTGTGTGTTCAAGAAGCCACAAAGCCTTGTGATGATTTGACAGTGATGTTGCCTGCTAGCTCATGACAGGCAAAATGGTATCTGACTGCAAAATGATACTGTTTTTCTCCAAGACACTGGGATTTTGGCTTCTGTAGTAATCTTACATTTACTCGTACTGAGGAAGGGTTCAGCTATGTTGGAAAAGAATTGGCTAATTCTCACACCCCTCACAAACTCTCTGCAATCGTAAATCCACAGAAGGATTTACAGGGGAGTAGCAAAAAAACAGGGGGGTGGCAAACAGAATAAAAACGAATAGGGTGAAAATCCATGTAATTGGTAAGGATTATTTCACAAGGTGACTCGACATGGCAGTAATTCTGTGTAAAGGCAGGACAGCAACCCAGGTTTAGAACAACAGGCACATTTCCAGTAACATACACTTCTCATTTCTTTGCTGAAGGGATTCTGCGTCACTTCTATGTTGAAAAAGTGTCCAAGAGAGAATTTGAAGAACTTCCTTACTTCAAGCAGATAACAAGGACAACCCCTAGTAAGTAAAATTCTGACCTCTTCAGGTTTCTATTCTCCATATAATCATAGCCTTGAAAAAACATTCTCTTTTACTCAACACAGTCAAACAGATGTACTATTTTTTCCTCCAGTACATGGCTCCAATATTTTGTAAGTAAGTTTAGATTTAAATAATCAAAATACAGCAATTTAAAATACAGATCCATATAACAGTAGTTCATGTCCATGCTGTCTTAGTCTCCTGTATTTTGATAAAATACAAGATAGGCTGTTTTCTGCCCATACTGCCATAAGTCTGAAATATGACTGATGTCAGCACAGCAGCACAATTTGGATTTATTTAAGTAACATGTCAAGTTACCCCAATTTTTTAGAAAGTCATTTAGAAGGGAAAAAATTCAGAGATGATTAAAGGAGTTCTCCTACATACATATACGCTATATTTGAAAGAAGCATTTCCTATGTTCTTAACAATATCTTCATTATTAAAATCTGTCTTTTGAAAGGACATGTAATTCTTTTATCACTCGTGATTCAATTTCTTTTTTGTATTTCATCCAGCTTGGGATATGACACTTACTTAATTTGATAGTTGAATTAAGGTATAGACATTTTTAGTTCCCAGTTCTTTTGCATTACAAGTTGTCATTTTTTCTGAGGTCTCTAATTAGGCAAGGAAGTATTTTTCCCAGGAATAATATATTCTTGATAATACAGGCTTAGTGAGAAGCAGACACCTTTTCATATAAAAAGTTTCCTAATTTTTTGCTGTCAGCCTTCCGTAAGCTTGTCATTGTTATCTGTAATATAGGATTCTAGTTACCAGGATAGCAGGCATTTCTATTAACATTATCAAAAATGTATAGAAATACTAATATCCAGCAAAGACAGTTTGTATTACACACAGGTAGGCGGAGTTCACAGTGCCTGAAACACTTAGACTTGTTGCTTCCCAACTTTTAAATACTCTGGTTTACCATCAGAGTTAAATTTTCACATCACTCTGTCCTAAAGCAGAGTATCCAACGTCATAAATGGTTGAACAAATAGGGTCAACTTACAGTACTACTTAATGAAAGAAAGGAATAATATTCTGGTCCTTGTTCATTATTTTTAACAAAGTTATTTTGCATGGAATATGTTACGTGATTGTAAGATACTTTGAATATTTTCCATGGGAGGATTGGACATTCTGTCTTTGACCACTGTGAGTCTGGAGAGTGCTTGTAAATGTCTTCGAAGTTCCCTATGCCCTTTTCTAAGTCAGTATCTGTCTCCTTTGTATTTTTGTTTTCAGGCCAGTGGAAAATATTTAGCGAGGGAGAAGCTCAGATCAGCCAAATGTGTGAAAGCAGAGTGTGCAGGACTGAGCTCGAGGATTTGGTAAAGGTTTTGTACCTTGAAAAGTCTGAAAAGGGTCACTGTTAAGGGAGACAGCACTGGAGGGAGAAACACAAGAAAACTTATGAAAACTTGGATCTGCAGCTGGACTGCAGGCTTATTTTGCTTAAGTCAACAGTTGCCCTAAAAACCAAAACTATAATGCAGTAATTATTCACATCATGCACAGCAAATTTGCTGCTTTATGTGTAGTGGTCTGTGTCAACCGTTCAAATATCTCCTCCAAAAGACTAGGAGGCTCTGTATTACTGGTGGGGGAAGGAGAAAGAGAGACTGTATTTTCCCAGAGTTGCATTTCTTTACAAGTTACAAAGAGAAAACAGAACATTTTTATTATTATTATTTGGCAAGTTATTCAAACTAATGAAAAGAAGGACACCTCATAAATGTGCAGGAGCTATGGAGAGCATTATTTCCAGTGCTGAATTTATACCATTTCTGGTGTTGAAATGACTCACAGATTTTTTTTTAGTAGTGGAGGAAAAATACAAGTGATACAATACTTGTGTTGGAGACATAAAAAACAGATTTAAACTAACAAACTGCTAAGCAGCCTGCCTTTGGGATGTTGTCTTGTAGTTGAGCAAACTGAGTCCATAAACTGAACAGCAGGTGTTAGTGGCAATCACTCTATTTTTGTAGCAATTTGAGCAAATGTTCGCTTTTAAGTGGTTTTCACTGTTTCCTCCACCCACTTCTCTAAAAAATGTGAAGTGTTAGCTCCCTATCACAGCCCTAATAACTTCATTCTTCTGGGCCCTATTAACACGTGGTCTTGGCTGATAAACTGCCTTCTAAAGTGACGTGACAGAAGGTGGTGAAGTAACTTGCAGTACTTTCAAAACACCTAGAGGCTTAAATCTCCCGATTAATAACTCCTTAAGAGTTGCGACAGTGCTTAATTTATGTGTTCTGATTTGTTACAAACCTAATCTTCTGCATTTTTTGAGGGTGACTTCTCAATTCTCACGCTTCAAGGACAGCTCTCTCCCATGATAAACACCAAACAGCTACAGCAGGCCTTTAGAACACAGCAGCTCTGTGAAAACTGTTACCTTTGTGAAAAACAAATCTGAGAGATTCTGTTAAATTTAGTGTCATGTCTACATTTAAGAAAGGTGGCTCTCATCTGCAGAAAAAGTGTAAGTTTAATTTAAAGAATGTTTTCTCTGAAGAGTCACCAAAATACTGCACTGCCTCATGGCTGCAATGTTGGATGAAATCCCAAGAAGCAAGTGACTCTGCCTGCTTTCGCTCCCATTTTCTACTCCACAAGCAGACAGGAATACTGCTGTTCGTTTGAACAAAGCTTTTTGGAAATGGTCTGAGCCAGGGGCTAGGTCTTCACAGGGAGTGAAATCAACAGTGACAGCAAGGATTTTGAGGCTTGTCATTCTGCCAGTGACAGCACTCCAGGGTGTACCCATTTCTAAAGGGATGAAGGTGTGGGAGAGCTCAGTGCCGAATGCCAAAAGCCCATTTCAGGCAGAGCTTCACCATCCTGAGGGGATCCTTGTCTTCAGCAGCAAACCCTGGCAGCCTCCCTCTGCAGTGCAGGCCTCAGGGCCAGGCTTCTTTGTGCCGCCCAGGTCCCGCCTGTGCTGCCTGCAGCTTCGGGTGGAGTGTAAGGCAGGGCTTCTCAACAAAGAGGAGCAAGTGAGGAGAACAGACTTGAAGGTGAAGGAAAGGCTGAAGAGAGTTAGGAGAATACATACAGGGTGATCTCAGGTCCTTAGTGATCTTGCCTGTGTATAACCACCCCGTTGTCCCTAGGCCTGGACAGAGAGCAGATAATACTTAGGAATACTTCCCTCCTTACCAAGCACTCGACATGGTCCATTGCATAATAGGAAAACACACTAAAAAGGGAGCTCCTCCAGCAACCGCGTGAATTTGCAAGAACGAAATTCTCTCACCTGGTATCAGTAAGAACCACGGGGGTCTCTTTCCAAGCCTCCATGGGCTGCAGGGGAAATCCTCCGTGGTCCCTCCACGGCCGCGAGGGAGCCTCAGCTCGGGGCCTGGAGCGCCTCCTCCCTCCTCCTGCCCGGCCCTCGGTGTCGTGAGGCTGTTTCTCACACTTTTCCCCTCACCCCTCGCTGACCAGCGGTCTTTTGCCCTTCCTTAAATACGCTTTCCCTGCGGCACCAGCCCCGCTGAGGGGCTCAGCTGTGCCCTGTGGTGGGGCCGCTGGAACCGGCTGGAACCGGCCGTGTCCGGCACGGGGCAGCCCCTCAGCTCTCCTCAGAGGGGCCCCTGCAGCCCCGCTGCCAGCGCCTGGGCACGGGCAACTGGTAGCACTGGTACCACGCTATAGTGCACAGACCTAACTAGCCCCTGGCCCTTAGAAGTCCTGTATCACTGGTCATTAAAAGGAGAGCTAAGTGAACTGTCCCACCGCCCTTCCACGGGACTGTAGCCTCTGCCTCCATAAATCCTGTCCTGGTGTTTGAAAGGGGTGTAGCGTATCCTAACTGAGGTCCTAAGACCAGAGGTTACTGCACTGTAACTGTAGAAGCAGCAGTTTGGCATCAGCAACACCCACTGCACATGGCATCTACTGGGTTGAAATGTGCTGCAGAAGGGCAAAATTTTATTATAAAACTTCTACTAAGTCATGAATTAACCTTATCGTTCCTTTGGTGAAGACATTGTAAGGAAGAGGTTCTGAGGAACTGTAGCGATCTGGTGGGAAGACCAGCAGTTGATTTCTCACCTCACGGGCATCATCTGTTTGTAGCAGTAGCTGGTGAAAACAGACTAAGTGGAAAGTGTACAGTGTTTGTAATTTTTTTTTTAAGAAGAAGAAGAAGGCAACCTGCTTTTTGTATTTGTGACAGGACAGGTGGATCCAGATTGTGTATTTATTTTATAATAAACACTTTTTAAGAAAAGCAGAAAAAAAATCATAAGTATCATTTAGTAAAATGCAGCGTTGCATTTTTCCAGTTTCTGGTCACTTAAGACAACAAAATACACAGTGTCATGTTCTTCATTCTCTTCATGGGATGTATGTCTGTTACGGTACTTATTTATGTACTTGTTGTATCACTTTGACCTGGTTTGATAAATTAATAAACTCTGAAGTTGATAATAAAACAAGATGTTTTGTGTACAGTGCTGTTTGGTCAAGCTCCCTGTTTGCAGTCCTGCTGCTGCCACCTCAGAGAAAGCCTGAACCCGCGCACCCGGCTGGGTGCAGTGCGTGGCTGCCTGCTGTGGAATCGGGTACTGAGCTATGGAAGAGGCAGATTCAAGACTTAGACTGCTGGACAGGGTGCAAAGTAAGGCTTCGGCACCTACCCGCATCCTTAACACTTCAAGTGTGAGCTTGAACCACATGGACTTCAGCAGCGCACCTAAGACGCCAGTTTATCAAAAACCTAAAAGATACTCATAGGTTATGAGCAGTTCTGACTTACCGTCACTTACAGCTGGGCCTGAGAAGCTGTGTGGAGTGCAGCCATGGGAGTCCCAGTGAACTCAGCAGGATTGTGTGGCCCTCCACAGCCAAATTCCCTTCAATTAATTAACTGTTGCGATATGCTGCAGTGTTTAATCCATAGGGGTGGTAATATTGCTCCCATTTAAGCAGTTTCAGACCAAGGCAGTAAAAGCTTGCGGTAACTCAGCATCCAGGGGGTCGACACTGAGCCCTGACTTCTCACTGTGTCTGAAAATCAGGCACGTAAAGCTTGCAGCAGGACAGCTGTGTCCCCAGTGCTGCAGTAGTTCATTCTTTCGGTCTTTCTCAGGAATGTCTTCTGCAGAATTTTGCAGACCAATTTACACTAGCACTCATCTGAGCTAAACTGAAAAGCTATAGAAATTATCACAACCTGGGTAATGCGAACAGACAAATTAGAAGGATCAGCAGGATGCTCAAACTATCGGCTTATTTAAACTGTTGCATCTCAAGAGCCACGACTGTTTGCTTTCAGGACTTGTTAGTAGGGCAACAATAGTTTGCCAGGGAGACAGCATAGGACCTGCAATACATAGATTTTCTGCTCAGAGATATGTTTGACCTTTGGGAAATACTCGATTTAATTCAGCTTTCACCTACCCAGCATGATTAATTTTGAAAATCAAAGCATTGACATCCATATATGGAAACCAACTAAAGAAGAAATCAAGCATTGACAACTGAGAGAACAGTACAGGACATACTGCTTTCTGGGCAATACATATTCTGAAACTCAAAATAATTGGGGAAATGTTGATGGAATCAACCTGTACTAATGACTAAAAAGAGGTGGTCTTAAGAAACATAAAGTGTAAAACATTAACTCACACATGGCTAGCAGTGTAACTAAAACGGAGAGTATCAGGCTTGGGAAAGATGATTGTTCAAAGTGGTTCCATAGTAAATCACTTTGAATCAGTAAGTACACCAAACCTGAAATTCAGGATGTCTCTGGAAATTCTTCATGAAATTAATTTCTGTTATTTCATCACAACCTGCGTATTCATCTTAGCCACCTTTTTATTTTAGCAAGGCATCTGTTACAAGAATCCTTTCCATGAGGACACACCCTAGGCATGTATACCTACTCTGCTCTGCTCTCCTCCTGTACCGGCCCCCTCCTCCAAGCCTAACTATCTGAGGGGCATTAGCCTTCCTAGTAGTCGCAGGCCGAAAGTCCCTAACCGTCAGGGTTGCACAGCTGCATCCCCATTGAATGCATTCTCTTGATTTCATAACATCCAAACGCTTTTTAGCAGCACAGTAAATCTTATTTCGCACTTCACTCCTATTCCCCTCTCACGTAACACAGATCATCTCTGACTCCACATGGCTCCACAGGCCAGGAAGGGCTGGGTACCGAGAGGAGAGCCCTGTTCACTGCTTTGGTCTTCTGAAATTACTTTTAAATATACCTACACAAGTACAAGAGAAAGAATGTGTCAGCCTAACACTCGCATCTTCATACACTCTCCATTAAAAAAAAAGGTCAAACCATTTCACAATTCAGATGATGAATACTTCCAAAATAATTGATAGCACATGAAGTATTTGCGTATTA